TGGGGATATTTGGTGATGATGTCCTGGTAGTCCACCCAAGTAGCATCCTCTGGAAATAAGTGAGACCACTGAATGAGGAGTTGAGCCACTGCCTTGTTGTTCCTCTTAACCATACGTCTGTCCAACATTGCCACAAGTTCCATTTGGAAAGTTCCATTAGGTGCGACTGGTGGCAATGTAGGTTGAAGAAGAGAGAGTGGACTACAAGATGGTGTTCAAAAGTCTCAAACAACTCTACCTTACAGGTCTTCCAAACCTAAGTGGTTTCTGCACAGGAGGAGACGACTTTCCTTTTGAATGGCCATCCTTGGAACAACTTAGAGTGAGAGAGTGCCCCAAAATGAAGACTTTCGCTGCCACTACTTCCGGCAGCACACCAAAACTGAAGGAAGTTGAATTGGATGGATCGGGGATACCGCTACAGGGGATGGACTTGAATCAGTTTGTGCAAACCCATACCCATATCATTTCAAACCCACCTAACTAAGGTACTTCTCTATTTTACCACATTTAACATATATACATATACATATATATATATATATATATATATGTATGTATGTATATCAGGTAACTACTTACATTATGAGGCAATGTTTTTTTTTTTTTTTAAGTAAATTAAATTGGCTCCTCGACTAATAAACTAGTAAAAATCAATGGACTATATATATTCATTGTGTTGGTATGATTCATGTCCAATTAATTTTAAATTTACATCATATACTTCAATTTCAGAGAAAATTTCAAGATGAAAATTCATGATACATTGTATTTTTTAATAAACTACAAATCAAATTATCAACTCCTCATAGTTGATAATTTAGTTGGTACATAATTACAAATCTCTAATAATTTTAAATTAAATTAGAGCAATACTACATACACAAAATTTGTACACTTAAAAATGGTTAAAAATTTTAATATACAGTCGAGATTCATTCAAATTGTGAACTTCACTATATTAGAGTTGAATCTTAAACACATTTTTTTTTTAGTTATATTTTTGTGTATGAATTTTGTGCATAGAGAGGCCCTTTATTACACTCAAATAACATTTTTTTTTTTTTTTTTGGTTATAGATTACACTTTTTAATGTAAAATTTATTTGTTTTCTTTTATTATTTAGTTAAAATTTAATATATTATCCTCTTTCGTGCATAGAGTTTTATTTTTAGTTAAGTTGATGGATAATGAAATTTTACTTTTTATTGGCCTTTTACAATGAATATTCATTTATGCCTTTATTATCGAAAGGCCTTTGACTATCTAAAAAAAAAATCACCTTTGGACATAAGATAATAAATTATTTAATATCTAGCAACCACTCATATGATAGTACTCCCTATAATGCTTAAAATTTATAACCATTTGAATGGTACTATTTTTATTTGGGATGTTTTTATCAAATTTTAGTATAAGTACCTTTGGACAATGAATGTTTTTTAGGCCCTTGGATAAATATGGAAGGGACCTAGTGGATTGAGATAATGCCTTCCTTAAATAAAGAAGAAAAAAGAAAATACTAGCACTCAATTTCTTTTTTTCTTTTGCTTTTATGCATTTTAATAAATTTTAAATTAAGTTTTGATTAGGAATTTTTCTTTTCTTTTTTGGTTTCAAGTTGCCAAATTCCAATAGTGAGACCTTAGGCCGTTAAGTCAAATGTGTGTAGTGTATTCGATAAAGTTAAAAACTGAAGATTGACAATTAAATATTGAATATTGAATATTAAATTTTTTAAATTAAAAAATTATTTGATAAAAATTTAAATGGTGACTAAAAATAATTCGTTTGATATGTATAAAATTAAATTTAAAATCTATTATTTTCAAATTGTATATTTTAATTTTTATATTGTGATGGTGGTGGTGGTGGTGGTGGTAGCGGCAACGGTAGTGGCATGGTGGTGGTGGTGGTGGTGGTGGTGATGGTAGTAGTAGCAGTAGTGATTGTAGTGGTAATAAAATGATGATAGTACTTATGGCAATACTAACAATAGTGATAAAAGTGGTTGTAGTGATAGTGGTATAGTGGTGGTGGTGATAGTAGTAGTAGTAGTAATAGTTGTGGTTATGATGATAGTGATGGTGGTGGTGAGTTTATAACAGTATATTGAATTTTTTAATTAAATATTGAATATTGAATTTTTTTAATTAAAAAATTATTTGATGAAAATTTAAGTGCTAACTAAAAATAAATTGTTTGATATGTAAAAAATAAAATTTAAAATCTATTATTTTCAAATTGTATATTTTAATTTTTATATTGTGATGGTGGGGGTAGTGGTGGTAGCGGCAACGGTAGTGGCGTGGTGGTGGTGGTAGCAGTAGTGATTGTAGTAGTAATAAAATGATGATAATACTTATGGCAATAATAACAATAGTGATAAAAGTGGTGGTAGTGATAGTGGTGTAGTGGTGGTGGTGGTGGTGGTAGTAGTAGTAGTAATAGTTGCGGTTATGATGATAGTTGTGGTGGTGATAACAGTGGTAGTGGTAGTGGTGGTGGTGGTGGTGGTGATAGTGATGGCGGCGGTGGTGGTGAGTTTATATTTATGTTTAATTTTATAAATTTAGTTAGAATTAAGTAAATTTCATATGACTTAAAATTTTCTTTTTAAGTTTTAGCTCACATTTTAAGAAACACTTAAATTTTTAAGTAATATCAATTGTAGTTATCTAATAGGCTTAATTGATTATCACTTAATACATTTAGTTTTCAGTGCTAAAGTTGGTTATCAAACACCTCCTACATGTTTATTTATATTAAATATTTTATTTTTCCTAAGACCAAACAAAAAAAAAAATTTAAATGTATATACAATCAATCAAAAAGTGATAGATGCCATGACTTGGAGTGATGATAAAAAGTGTTATTCACCAAAAAGTGAAAGAAAAGAAGAATGCCTACTTGCTATCTCTCTTAGAAAAATCTATGGTCCTTCTGCATTGTGTAAGATCTTTATTCAATCGATAAATAATTTAAAAATGTTATGAGTTTTCACTATAAATTTTACTACATTAGGAATAAATAAAATTAATTGGCCTTTCAATCTGCATATTTTCTTTAAGGCCCATTCAACTTACACTTGATGGATTTGTCACCCTATGAAATTATGCATAGGTTGTCTAAATATCTTATTTTCCATCCACAGACAATATTATTCGGTTTCTCACTTCTTCTTCTTTTTTTCTTTTTTTTGGGTTGTCATTATCAATGTTTCTTATCATAATCTTTCCTATTTTTTTTTTTTCTTTTCAGGCAAGACATACTGACGCTCCTGAAAATGAAATCTAATTGTGAACCAAATTATGAATTTATGAGGAATAACTCTCATGAGTAAGTGGACAATTCATGATTTACATCAAGCTATACCCAAAAACCATACAATTCTTATCTGAAAGGAATTTTCTGTTACAGAAAAATAGATGAGTTTTGTGAATTATTTTTTAAATACTTTTTTCAAAAATAATTTTCTAAAACCTATCTCATTTTGTAGGAAACAACAAAAATTTATTTTCAAAATTTCAAAAGCTGTTTTCTGTGCAAAAATGAAAACAATATGAAGGCAATGGTGGTTTTGAAATTTCTATTTTTTTGTTTCCGAAAATAAAAAACAAAAAAGCAAACATTATATGTAGCAAAATATAGCTATTACGGCTAGATTATTATTGAGTTTGCATTTTCTTTTTGCAGTTGTCAACCATAAAGAATGTTAAGCTACTCCCCATGGTTATGTGATGTCTACCTTAGGATTTTATTGCGTAAGGGCATACGCTTCCTATGATTTGTGTTTCTAAATAATTGTCTTGCTTTGCAATATCAAAACTACTACTCTAAACAAAGGTATATTTACCTAATGTGTGCTGAAGATTTGAAGAGTGAATAAAGGGGAAAAAAGAGTACCCAACATCTGTAATTTTACTTTCTCTGCATTGTAATGGAGGTTGTATCCAAAATTATTTGTCTCAATTAACAATATTATATATTTGTTTTCATGCTTGTTTGTGTCTATGATAAAAATATATATATATATATATATATTGCAATTTGCTCTTTACTGAAATGTGATTTACAAGAATAATTTATAGTACAAAAATGAATTGTTGCTTGAATTTGTTAAGATGGGTTTGTAATTCATTCGAAGGGAGTTTTTGTTACGGAATCCAAAGAGTCCATACTCAGATTTATGTTAGGCAATCAAAAGTGTCCATACTTAGAATTAATACAAGTTATTTCAGACACGCATCCACTTAAAGGCTTAAACATATATGGAGTGAATCCATCTGACATCTATTAAAGACTTTACATTTGTTTTTTTTCCGATATGAGACCATATTACTTCAAGAAGTTCCAACAATCTCTCCCTCAAATAAACTCATACAGTGGGCAAAGTTTTCGCTCGAGTCTAATTTACTACTCTAACATTGTGTCTTATGCCTTGTAAAGAGGTTTGTAAGAAACTCCTCTAGAAAGATAGTTGAACTATCTTATGCAACATTTCAAAAACATGGGATGATTATAAAAACATGTGGGAAAGAATGTTTCTTTAGCAATAAATCCTTAGCAATCTTATATTTATCTCAAGTGAACATGAGGACCAATGATATTAAGGAAAAATAAAATGACACACATTAAGAAGACATACGATCTCCATTTAGAAATAGAAATCTATTGCATGCCCCTTTTGGAAAGAAGAGCTTTAGTCACTAGGGTAATGTCCAAGCAACTCCTGTATGGTTTATGATTTATATGTCCAAGTCCAACAACTATTGAAAAACAACATTTATTTCTACATATCAATATCATCAATTAAGGAAAATATTCCAGGCTTTATTTTGAAGGAAGTTCTTAGTTACTATAGAAATATCCAAGCAAATTGAATCGTAACATGTGATCTGTTTTAGTTCTCAATCAATAAAAATCAAAAGATTAACTCCAAAACCAAGCCCTTAAACCCTTGTAAGCGTGCTTGTAACTACAAAGGCAACAAGAAATCTTCCAAAAGGCTCCCACAAACAAGATATATGTGGAACACAAAATATATATACATATATATATATATATATATAAACATGTACTAAATCCATAAACAAGCTATATGTGAAACACATCAAATTTTGATAGCATGAAAAACGACAAATATTGTCCATCTTCAAATTCCTAGCTCCAACATTGAGTACAACCTACCTTGTGCCACCCACCAAAATATATATAGTTATTTTAACAAGTAGCTAACATTAAGGGTTAGTCCGATAGATGAGTTACCAAATGTAATGTCCAAATTCGAGTTTACAGTTATGTAGCTTTCCCATTCCCTACCAATTTATATATATATATATATATTGTAGTAAGCATCCACCTTATTCCATGTTTTGTTCACAAAGGACCATCCAAAAGCACATGATAATTGCCTTCCACATTCTTTCGTTTTTCTTTTTCTTTCTTTCCTGTGTCCTCCTTTTTTTAATGAGCAAAAAGAGCAAGCTAAGGGAAGTGCAGAAAGAATCAAAGCTAAACCAAACCAAAAAGATAGAGAGAGAGAGAGAGAGAGAGAGAGAGAACAAAAGCAGAACTCATCATTTCTGCACAACTCAAAAGAGCAACAAAAAAACTTTCCCGAAACTCCAAAATCACACTGTAGGAAAATTGATTTTTACCGGCGTTTCAAAAATGCCACTATAGGCTTGAAAAATTCCGCAATAGGTTTTTACAATGTTTGATATTTTTGTCACACATACGACTGCCGCAATAACTTAGCAGTGTTTTAAAAACATCACAAAAATCCACTTACTTTTCCGTCACAATTAACGTATGATGTAATGATGACATCATTTAGTGACATTTTTCCAAAAAACACTACCTCTCTTCATTTTTGTACTTGCCTCGGATATAATGTCAAGATGACATCATTTAGTGGTGTTTTTTTTAGAAAAAAGGCCTCCTTTCAACGTTATCTCCTTTGAGATTTAACCTTACAACTTTCCAAATCTCAATCGTGTACTGTCCAACAATCTGAATTTTCTTCAAATCATCCCCCTATTTTGTTGTTCAACTGTGCAAACCAATCTGCAATCCAAATCTTTACTTTGCAACCAGCAGAAATCCGTTTGTTGACACTATCTTCACAACACCTTGTTCAAAAATAAAATGAAAATGAGCACATCGGATCAACAAAACTTGTTACCACAATTTGGAAAAGCAATAATTGAGAGAAAATTTTCAACTTCCACAACAATAAATGAGCACACCCGATCAACAAAACTTGTTACCAGTCTCTGATAGCTAATTATCCCAATTGCTTTCTACCCTCTCAAATGAAATTATACACTTGTTAGCAATTTCTATATATCACTCTATTAAAACCAACACGATTAACTACACATAGAAAAACACTCGCACAAACTAAACTACTGATAAATCTGCAATGACTACCCTCTTATGTTGCTAACAACTTTCCCCATCAATAATAATAATTAAATGCTGGCACAATTTAGAAGAAGTAAAGAAATTGATAGATTGATGATGCCGATTCATCCTCGTCCCACGGTGTGTATATGTGTTAAGTTTCCATAAACAAAAATAATCCCATACAAAGAAAATAAAAAAGAAAAAGTCTTATCACTCACAAGACTACCACTACTCTATTAAGGGTAAGTAACCATCTGAACAATTCAACTTGCTACAACTTTTGATTGAATTCAATGAAAAAGTAACTACTTGACAGCAATAAGATTTTAACAAGAAAACGTACAAGTTCCATGATATTCAAATTGGAATTCAAGACCCATAAAATGCCCAAACGCAACAATTACACTTAAACCCTCTGAAGGATTACAGTTAAAGCCCTTATAATCATAAAGATCAAAAAACTTTCAAAATCACAGCCAAATCTATAGCAGAATCCCAACCCAATTTGCAGAATTTAATCATTAGAACAATTATTACCCAAAAAAAAAAAAAATCAAACCATCACAAATTGAAGCAAGTAGTCCAACAAAAATTAAATATTAGCAGATGTATATGACTAGTGTTATTAATGCTAAAAAGGGATTCATTTCACGCTTACCCATAATTAGAAAACTTGTTGAGAACTTGAACCTGAGCGTTTTAGGGATTTGTGGGTTTTTTGGAGATTTGGGAGACACCTGAAAGAAAAAGAAAGAAAGCAACCCTTTTTGTGGTGGACAATGAAAAAAAAAAACTTTTAGAAAGAGAGAGTTTAGAGAAAGATCAAGAAAGAGAAGAAGCTTTGAGTAGATTGACAACTGTTATGACATTTTGTTGTTCTTCCCAATTGGAAATGGACAACCCTTTTCTGGTTGACAATCACAAATCTATCATATGCAATAAGAAATCGCAAACATCAGTTAATCAAACATTCACATTTATTAGTCCTTTTGACATATAATGCTTTGTCTCAACAAGTAGATAATCTCTCTACTTATAAAATAAGAAATCCCAAACATTAAAGGTATCCCTTAATGAATGCCCAAGCAACTTGAGGTCACTATAGATGAATTTAAAAAAAGAAAAAGAAAAAAGAAATCAGTCACACAGCAGTCACTATTACCTCTCCCAAGGCCAAGTCCAACCACATGTTTGGTTATTAACCTAGCAGTCACACTGCTGAAGAGAGAATAAACAACAAAGAAATCAGGCTCTTGTTCTTTTTTGCTATGATATTAATAACAAAGAGAGTAACTTGATAAGATTCTTACAACATTATTTTTCTTCTCCACATCGCCAAATTACTTTGGATCTCAAGCTGAAAGAAAAATAGGCATTGGAACAAAGTATGAGTGAGTATGCAATACAATAAAAACCAACCATCTTCATCCTATTCAGTAAAGCATTAATAGAAATGATATTCCCATTCTCTTTTAAACTTTTCACTCTATTTTTTGTCTTTTAGCCTCTCACAAGTGGAGTGTGAATATCATTGCTCTACCTTACATTCAACAAAAAAATCAAATATTGTATATCTAACAATCATGAATATAGCTGTCCAGAATAAATACACCTCAAACATATGACCCTTTTTTTATTTGATTGGCCATCTTCATACTTCCCATTTTCAAAAATTTCAACGAATATACTTTCTGAAATTTGATATTTTGTTAACCAAAACCAAACCAAACCAAGCCTTAAGTCCCATTAAATGGGGTCGGCTACATTGTATAAACTCCCAAGCATGAATTGTATCAAAATATACTAGTGACAAGCATAAAGCATATTATATGGGCTGCAGAAGTAACAAGATTAAATAGAATAAACTTTAGGCCACCAAAGGGTGTCTTTTCCCCCCTTTTTGATGGAACCATGATCTAGGTAACTCAACAAAAAATAAAAAATAAAACAAGAGTTGAATGACCAATGTTAGAAACCACAAAACACTTTAAGATGCAGAATGATCTTTTTAAGATAATCTCTTGTAGCTTCACAAAATAAAAGGCCATATCATCTACATATAGTAGTTTTATCAATTTAAATGGGAACTACACTGAAACGATTATTAGGAGAGTCAGAAAGCAAGAAAATGCCAGAATGAGATTCCTAAAAAAGGCAAAATAATATACTAGAGAGAGACAGAGTAGATCTGATATTACCATATTAGCAGATCAGAGAGAAAGCAGATCTGATCAAAGAGAGGGAAGATATACATCTCTTCATCGTTGAGCTTCTATTCACTGTTTCCAACGATCCACATAAAAAAAAATAAAACAAATATCTTCAATGAATTTTCTTCATAAAAATTGCAGCAACAGTTACTGCATAAAGAAACGTGGAATCAATATAACAGTTAGTGGCAAATTCACAACCAAACCAAAAATTTGAAAAAAAAAATCAAAAACTTTAACATACACTATCAAAAACATCAATACTAAAAAAAGCATAAGTCTGGATATGCATTGAACATAGAGAGCAAGTTTCAGGAAAGAGAATGAAGCTCATTACCTTCATGCCAAAGTGTAGTGCCGAAATGCAAGTGGAACAGATCTAAATCTCGAAGAGAGAAACAGATATTTATAAGCAAAAAGAGAGTGAGACTCACAAAAATCAATCAAATAATTAATCAAAATAGATCTGAATGAAAACAATCGATCGATCAATTGATTGAAAGACAGTTTTGACAGGGGCTGATCTCAAATTTGTGTTCTTAGATGTATACAATCTTAAAAAAAAAAAAAAAGAGAGAGAGAGATAAATAAACGAATTAAATACTGACAAAATCAAAAGAGAGAATCACAAATCTGGACAATCAACCTTCAACTCTACAAGAATCAACCTTCAAATCATCCACAACCTTCATGGATCTGAGAGAGAGAGAAACGTAGATCATTCAACAGAGAGTGACTGAGGGCTTTCAACCTCAAGAGCCTTCACAATATCTTCTGTTCAAACTCGATATCGAGGAAACTGAGAGTTTCTAAACATGGTGGTTGTACTATTTGATAAATCTGAAGTGAAGAGAGAGAGAGAGAGAGAGAGTGATAGAGATTGAGAGAGGGTTTTGAAAAGGGGATCTGAGTTTCAGAGAGTCTAGAGTGAGATGGTTTTGAAAGGTCTCAAACGACGAGAAGGTTTTAATATGAACCAGCATGATCACTACATAGCTAAACGACGTTGTCTGACCTAGATGTAAGACAAACGTTTACAAAACGTTGTGCTTGACTAATCAACAAAGACGTTTCACAAAACGCTATATTCTAAACACCGTGCAAAGTACTTTTCCTTGTAGTGTCAAGAACAACTCTCATCCTTAAAAAGCAACAACACAGCCTTCTAAGTTATAACTTAAGGCTTCCCATAGCAATAAAAATATTCTTCATGGAAGAAAGACCTCCCTAGCCAGCAAAACAGCAACCCTACACCACCAGCAACATCAAAGAACATATCAGTAGCAACAAGAAGAACAATAAGAAAGAGCCAAGCCCCCTTCGCACCTCAACCATCTAATCACTTCAATGTCTGTCAAGGCGGCTTTGAAAGAAGCTTCAGTTTGAGTTTCCTGATCCCGTCAAGGTAGCTGATAATACCAGACACTGGATAATTGACAATAACAAAACAAGCTTTTGCCCAAAGAGCAAAACACAAGTTTACTAGGTGAATCACATCAAGAACATGTTGTTGAGCTAACCAGATAACCATGTAGAAGAGGGTCACCCAAAGTCGTTTCTCAAGGCTCCGAAAAGGAGGATCAAACCACCACATAAAAATATCAAAGAGAGAGGCAGGGCAGACCGAACAAACACCACCCGCACCAGTTTAAACAACAGGACCAGCGTTCCCAACCGAACTGACAGTGAATGAAGAGATGGTATACAGATTTGACAAATCTCAAACACATTGGACAAAGCCCTTAAAACTCATTTAGGATTACCCCTGTTAGCTAAAAATTTCATGAGAGGCTACTTTACCTAGAATAGCTTGCCAACAAAATATTATGACTTTGAATGGGCGAAGATTATTCCAAAAAAGAGATGCAGCTTGAGAGGAGGAACCTCAAAACCACAAGATAAATTTTCATAGACATTATAAAAAGATCTAATCGAATAGGTTCCATCATTTTTATCCCACTTTCATTGCAGCTTATCCTCCATGTCAAGAGTTAAGCAAAGCAAATTAAGTATTCATTAAATTATCCAAAGGGACATTCTCCCAAACAAATTAACTCCTCTTGAATTGCAAACACCACTTGTTCAAGCTTCCATCAAACAAAAGAACATCATTAACCATAGCAGATTTTTGAGACAAAATCGAGAATAGTCTAGGAAACTCATCTTTCAAAGATTCATCACCGAACCATAAACCATGCCAAAACATAACTTGATGTAGACCCCTGAACCAATCATAACAAAGAATCCCTTTTGAACAATATTCCTATTTGCAATGCAAAGACATACTTGGGATCTACCAACATTAAGGTCTAATTTGATAACCCTGGTAGGAGTTGGGATTGGATTGGTAATTTGACAAGTTCCACATAGTTCGTGTTTAGTTGCACACCCAAAAAATAAATAAATAAATAAGGGAAAAAAAAGCATGGATAAACAATCCCATTAAACAATAAATTCCCAAAAATGCACGAATTAGGAATACCATGGGATGAATTTGTCCCATGAGAATGTGTGGCAAAAGACAATTTTGCCTCTGCAATATATAAACAATAAAATCAACTTTTATATAATGAGGTCTTACATGAAATTTCATATATTTAATCCAGACAGAGTTGTATTTTTTGGTTGAAATGGGATGGCGTTCAAATTCTATAAAGGACGGGCTGTTCAACTTTGAAAACTTAGCTAAGGTCAGGGCCAACAGTATTCTATTGTACAACTACTTAATCTGAATAGTACAACAATTATTGTCTGGATTAAATATATTATTGTCTACTTTAATCTTATTATTCTATTTTTGTTTAATAGTACAACGATTATTGTCTTAGTATTGAAGTAGCAAGGAAATCTTCAGCTCCCCTTGTTAGCATAAATGCGGCCTATTTTTGTTTGCATTTATTACGAAGTAAACTAAGCCTAACTAACCACGACATACTCAATGCAACCAACAAGCAACATACCTGGTCTTGAGAAATAGGTTCATTCCTGTCAATAGCAAGAGCCCTCAAGTCTGCTTTAGGTCTAGATTGATTTTCATGATAGTTCTTGCTCCAGCATGAAAGTTCCATTTTAGAGAATGATGATATACCATGATATTTTTGTTTTAACTTTTATGTGGTGCATCTGTTCAATATAAATTAAGACCCTTTTCTCTTATTGGTTACTCCTCTAGGGCTTAGCTCAACTATCATTCACCTTTTACTCTCTGGCTCTCTCCACTTGTTCTCGCTTCATCATCTCTCCTTTTCAACAGTTTTTCTCTCTCCCCCTCATCATTTTGTCTTTCTCCCTTCTACTTAGACCACAACTAAGAAAGGTTATTTAAAACTTCAAAACCCAAATGAAGTTTCTACTTTGGAAAAACAATATAGAATGAAAACCCACCTATAGTCGCTCACCGTTAGTGAATGGAGAATTGAATTATAAAATGGCCATGTAAAAATCTCAATACTCACAATTTTTTTTCTTGACAAAATGTCCCAAGGACTTCACATTTTCAAGGAAAAAAAAAGCCTATTTCTCATCCTATGACCTAAACAAGCCTTACTAAATTTCAAAGACTCCAAAAACAAAATCCACAAAGAAGCTTCAATTGCTTAAGGACGTATTAAGCACCCCAAAAAAAAATTGAAAAACTTATTTTTTTAGTCAAAAATCTTCAAGAGCAAGACGAACAACATCATTTTATCATCAATTCCTATATTATCAAAATCATCGGTGTAAAAAAGGGTGAGAGAGAGAAATGACGGGAAGAGAGAAAGCAGTGAGAGGTGAAAAGGTGATGGTGTGAAATGAGGAGAGAACGCGAGGGAAAAAATTTCAGATGACAATAATTGTCATATTGTTGCACAATAAGAAGATAATGTGTCATTATTGTCATTTGACACCCACGCTTTTCCATTTCTTCTTCTTCTTCTAATTCTTCTTCTTCTTCTTCTTCTTTTAAAAAAAAATGCTAGATGACGGGGTGATTAACGGCATTTTTGAACACTAGAATTATGGCTCTTGTTTTAATGAACACAACAAATTTTAGTGTACAAATAGTTGTATAATTAAGTTTGGGCCTTTGCTGCTACTCATTGGAAATAGAACCCCTTTTGGAAGGAAGTGCTGTAGTCACTATGGAAACGTCCAAGCAACTCCTTTGTAGTTTATATGTCCAGCGAATATTGACAACAACATCTATTCATATCAACATCATTAACTACGGATAACATTGCAGGTCCTTTTCAGAAGGCAGTGCTTTAATCACTATGGAAATGTCCAAGCAACTCCATTATAGAGCTTATATGCCCAACAAATATTGACAACATCTATTCATGTCAACATCATCAACTAAAGAAAACAAAAAGAAAATGACAAGCAAGATTGTAACTACAAAGACAAGTATCTACAAAAAGAAAATGACAAAGCAAGATTGTACCTACAAAGACAACAAGGGCCAATCTCTCTCTCTCTCTCTCTCTCTCTCTCTCTCTCTCTACAGAAAGAAAGTGACAAAGCAAACAAGGGCCAATCTCTCTCATTTGTTTAGGTAAAAGAAGGGTCATCCTTATCACCTCAAATCACCCATATAAGTATAGTCTTCCACCATCTTAAAGTTTCAAAACCAACATACCACTCTCTCTATTTCTATCATCCATGGAATTTGTTAACTATTTGAGTTTGCTAGTTTTACTTATTCCTATCTTCCTCTTCCTAACCAAGAAAACTTCCAACAAGCTCCCACCAGGTTCCATGGGATTACCCATCGTAGGCCATAGCCTCAGCCTTCTACATGCGATGCGAGCGAACAAGGGTGAGGCATGGTTCCATGAAAGAATAAGAAAGTATGGTCCCATTTCCAAACTCAGCCTCTTTGGAACTCCTACAGTTTTTCTCCATGGACAGGCTGCAAACAAATTTATATACACGTGTGACAGCAAGACAGTTTCCAACCAGCAACCAGCATCAATGAGGAGAGTCTGTGGTGAGAAAATTATACTGGAGTTGAGTGGCGAAGATCACAAGCGAATAAGGGGAGCACTTGTATCCTTTTTGAAGCATGAAGCATTAAAACAATATGTTGGGAAGATGGATGAAGAAGTTAGAAAGCACATGGAGATGCATTGGCATGGCAAAAATGAGGTCAACGTATGTTGCAACTACTGATGTAAATTTCAAAACTCTAGATTTAAATCCATAGTTTTATCTAGTAACTAGTCAATAAAATTATAATGAAATGAAGATGGTCCTTTCTTTACAAAAGCAAATCATGACGTCATGAGTGGAACAAGAGATGCGCATGAGGTTTCTGTTTGGCTAGTAGCTATTTGAGAATCTACAAAACCAACCACATATACACATGGAGAAATGACAATTTCCATAGGACCTTAGACATGTAAACCTATTAATTTTTCCTCCTTGCATTAATAGTATGAAACAATTTGTCGATAATATAGGTGATGCCTTTGATGAAGACCCTCACATTCAACATTATTTGTTCACTCATATTTGGAATAGAACGAGGAGCAAGAAGACATGCACTAAGAGGTTTATTTCAAAACATGATTGAAGGAATGCTGTCAGTACCAGTGAATTTGCCTTAGCCTCCGAGCAAGGGCAAAAATGAAAACCATACTCATGGACCTTATAAGTGAGAAGAGGGTAACCTTGGAAAAAAATGGTGCTTCCCTCATCAAGATCTCATCACTTGCTTGCTTAGTATCCGCAATGAAGACAATTCAGCTCTACTGTCTGATGAGGAGATTGAGGACAATGCGGTCATTATAATGGTTGGAGAATATGATACATCCTCCATCCTCCTTACCTTCTTGATCAGGCTTTTAGCCAATGAACCATCCATTTATGCTGCTATTGTTCAAGGTATGCCCCCAACTAGCTCCCTCATCATGATTCATGAGAAAGATTTAAGAACTGAAAAGATAAAAAGATACTAGAAAATAGAACATACTGAAAAATTATCTGTTTTGAGATTGCAGAGGAAATTGCTAAAAGCAAGACCCTGGGGGAGCTTCTCCCATGGAATGATCTTACCAAGATGAAATACACATGGAGAGTAGCAATGGAGACTCTTAAGTATAACCCCTCCTGGGTTCTGTTCCTTCAGGAGGGTCCTCAAAGATACAGAATTTGGAGGATATCTAGTACCAAAAGGGTGGCAAGTATGTGTAAATATTGCTAACATTTCCATAATTGTAGATTAATTACCAAAACAAATGTTTGTAATATAAATAAAATAAAAGCTAGAAGTAACACAAATTTCTGATAAACAGGTGGTATGGGCAGCAAGCATGACTCACATGGATGAGACAATTTTCCCAAATCCAACACGCTTTGAGAAACAAGCACCAGCCCCTCCTTACTGCTTTGTGGCATTCGGAGGAGGACCAAGAATGCGTCCTGGGTATGAGTTTGCCAGAATTGAAACACTAGCTATAATTCATTACTTGGTGACCCAGTTCACATGTAAGCTTTCCTGCATTGACGATTCTTTCTGCAGAGATCCAATGCCAGTTTTCAATCAGGGGCTACCAATTCATATTAAACCAAAGAAATCTAATGGTGCGATTTAAGTGCACGTAGCTTTCATTGACTTTGATGAAAAACAATATTTCCCCTATTGAATAAACCTAATGTATCGGTTTAGTAGAAACAATTCAGCTATAAAAGTAAAAAAAATAAATTAAAAAATCACTTTCTACATTTTATTAACAAGATTTTGCTGCAGAAATTGTGTGCTGTAAGGACCCTTCTTCACAAGGTCAAGGGAATCACTCCTTGACAATTTGATTGATTTTCATGTCCAAGCACTCAAAAGGAATCAGTGGGAGCATTTATGTCACTATTACCATTTTGGTTCCTTACGAAGAAAATGGTGTATAATCAAAATGCCAGTTATTTTGATGACCCTGGGCATAGCACCATTTCCAAAAAGTTCAAGTTAAGTCTAAATGCTATGTTGCCTTTTAGTTCATTTTATCCCAGAGGAACTTTTATTGAACTTATGATATTCCACTTTATGAGTGGGGTTATGTGACGCAGCTATAGGTAATCTAGCTCACCTTAACTTCTCAATGGGTAAACATTTTTCGCCACAATGTTCAATTTGTCTAATCTGATGCATAATGAAATTTGGTCAAAACTTCATTTTTGCTTTCTGCCAAATATAAACTTTAAAAGAAGAAATCAAGTTTGTTAAATAACAATTCAACTGCCCACTCAATCAAACCAGAATCTAGAATTATCCTTCCAAGAAGTTAGTTGGCATTTAATCTTTGTCAAGACTAGCATAATGTCTGATCCCCATTTTCAATATTATGTGATATTGCAAAAGTACCATCTGAAGCTCATTCAACCCTGCTTCCACAGGAATTTTTCCGGCACTAACATAATCAAATTTTATGTCAATAAATTATCAAATATCCAAACACACATTAATGTATACTAATTGGGTATTGTTTTTTTTTTTTTTTTTTTAAAAAAAAAAAAATTCATTCTAAGACAGAAAGATATTAGACTCTACTAACATTCCAAGCTGATTACGATGGTGAAAACACCTCAAGCCTTAAAACTTCAAATCCTGCTGATCCCCATATGTTTTATGTTGATGTAAGATTTGGACGTGCAACTTAATATATCATATAAAGTTCTGTATTTGATAAAATATAGACATTTCCACTATTTTCAGTAAGGAATCCTTACAACATAGAAAAGAAAATTATTTAAACAGATAGAACGAAACAAATTCAAATTGAAACCAATAATGATCATATTACCAAATCAATAATATTAAATGTCAAAAGCACCTTTAAAGTATAGATGCTGTTACCATGTTTTGGTACTCTAAAAGCTTTTTTTCTTTGATTTATGGTATCCACCATGAGTGATGCAATTTGTTCACTTTTCTGCTTCGCCACCTTCTCCAGCTCTTCTACTTGCCGCCCTCTGTTTTAATTGGGATCCACTTTCTAGGCCAAAGCCTCAACTTCCTGAGAGCACTAAACAACCCAAGGAACAGTGGCTACAAATGAGAATACAGAACAAGGGTCAATTTCAAAGGTCAACCTCTTTGGCGCCCTATGGTTCTAATCAAGCCAGCTGCAAATAGATTTGTACTCATTAATGATAGGATTGTACTTTCCAATGAGCAGCCAAAACCATTTTTTTAGTAAGCTTTTACTACAAAAAAAGAAAGTACCCAAAACAGAAGAATATACAACAGAACTCAAAACACTGCCAAGAGGCCACCTTGCTACAAAGGCACACACAAAGGACCTAACCTAGAAAGGAAAGCCCCTCACAACCCGAGAAGAATAGACACAAAGGACACTCAAACCCAAACCACTGAGAAACAAGCCTCTCACGACCCAAAAAAAGGTGCACAAAACACACTTCTCACAACCCGAGAAGCTAGACACAAAAACAAAACATAAAAAGAAAGAAAACCACTATCCCACATTTTCTTGGAATTTCACAATAAAGTGCTTAGGATTGGTAGACAATTTAGCAAAGGATTTTGCCCATGCAAGCTTTAGATTAAGAATGTTCTTGTCGAGCTTCCTCTTGGTCTCATCTCTAGAACAAAGAATGCAGTGCATATTTCTTTTAGTATTCTTGATTTCCTTTTCTCTAGGAGTAGAAGACACATCTTTAGAAGCCACACTTTGAGAAAGGGCAGGCCCATCCAAAGTTGCCACACTTTGAGAAAGGGCAGCCCATCCAAAGTCTCCTCCCTTGAAGGGGTGCTGATGAAGACCATGGAAAGAAGAAAAAGAGCAAATCTAGAATTTCACATGAAACACATTTAGTGCATCAAGAGTTAAAGATTTGGAATAATTTTGAATTTTCATGTCATTATAGTAGGTTTTAGTAATTAAGGGTATAACGGTAATTCCAATAATTGTTGGACATGGGTTGTAGGGGTCACCCATGGATTTTATTTTGGGTTAAATTATTAAATGGGTTATTATATATGGGCTTTATTATGTCTAAAATAATCTTAGTAGTCAAAAGTCAAAAGTCAAAATTTCCTATTTTGATATTGAAGCAGAATTAGAAGTCATTAGAGTTTCCTATTATGATTGAAGTAGAATTGGAAGTCATAATTGGTCTAGAATATTAGTAGTTGCTAAATATTTTTAGTTTCTAAATTTGAGAAATAGTCCTTATAAAATTAGGAGTCTTTAGCCAATACAGAGTTAATATTATGAAATTTTGATATTGTGTTTGTGTGATTGGCCTATCCCTTGTGAGGGTGAAGCACCTCTCTCTCTCCACCTCTTCTATCCAGCAAGATTACTGTTCACAGTGCTCAGAACAGCCACCTGCCAGCCCCTACACTCATGTTTTCATTCCCAAAACCCTACCCTTTCATAAACCCTTAAACTCCTATTTTTTAAAATACATTTGCAGCCACAAAATCCTACCAAATCCAACCCTATAAGCCTATAATTACTGCTACCAGTATATTTAAGTCGGGCTCACTACTTGTAGTAAAGTAATCCCTACTCATCCTACATCAGGTGCTCATCATTTCCCTTTCATTCACATCCCCCAGGTTGTGCAAACCTTTGGAATACACCTTCTCCTATTGCTTACACTCCGCCTTGTTTGTTTTCTCCACCTTTTTTGAATTACACGATGCTAACACATCAAAATTATTAGATGAAGATGGACGGTAATTGAATTCTACAAGAATTTATTGACGAAATATTACAAGCAAGTGGACAGTTCCAGAGACCAGAAGCATTAAGAAACAATAAGATTAAAGGGCTACTCAAGTTACTCAGGTAACACCTGGAGATGCATGGTCAAAATATAGTATACAAAAATTCTTAACCCAACCATTGCAATAAAATTTCACTTTCTAAAAAAGAAAGGAAGAACATCAACAAGAAACTAGTATTGTACATGTGCCTCTCTACGTCCTTAACAAAGGTAGTAAAAAATCTCCCACTCAGTCCAACAAAAAGTTTCTTACATTAACAGAACACTCAATGTACCTGGAAAAGATTTCTTTGAAGTATATCATATCATTAGCAATAAGTTGAAACTAAGGTCACTCACTAAAGCACTACTTTTGTGACAAGAATTAAATTCCCTTTAAACTAATGGAGAGTGTTCCTAGAAAGTTTTTCTTTGCAGCTAGCTACAAGTTAAAAGTGAGGTAACTCAATAAAACACAAATATTTTTGTCAGGAACTGACTTCAGTAAATCAAATGGGAAGTGTTTATCAAAATGCCTATTACAGGATCTTTTTTTATCAGAAACAAAAATAATATATTAATAAGCATAAATAAAGAAAATTACAAGAAAGTGGGAAACAAAAAGTCCACCAAAAGAATCAAAAAAAGAAAAAATAAATAAAAAGAGCAAAATTCATCAAGATTATAGACCACTGATGACATACCGCCCACTGATTCTAAAAAACAAATATAATTGAATCCCCTTAAAAGGAAAAGAAAGCAAAGCCCCAAATGAGGATAAAAAACAATCTATCCCAAAGAGAATCAATGTCCTTAAATTTGTCCTCAAAGATTCTAGCAATGTGCTCCAACCAAATATCCATGAACAAAACAAAAGACAAAATTCCACAAAGCCTAGTTTTGAAATATGTAATTGGTCATGAGACTCCTGTGAGCCAAGTCCACACAAAAACCTTAACGATTTGCTTCAAATTGTTCCAAATCCTAGAACGATGGAGAAAAGGATGAGCATTGTGATTACCAATGATCTTGTTGAAAAACGGTTTGCCTGAGAAGATTTCCGAAGAATTAAGTGACCAAACCCATTTGTCATTGACATTGGGTCTCACGGAGAAACCTTAAAGGATGTTCAATAAGGATGCCAAGTTGCCAACTCAATCGATTCATGATCATTAATATTTCTATAAAAAAAAAATTGAAATTTCATGAAATCAGTGCCGATTGGGAAAGCACTATAGATGCGATGGAACATTATGAGAACAGACCAAATGGTACAAATGTGGGAACAACACATCAAGAGAAGAATCCCCAAGCTAAGTATCTTTCCAAAAAGAAACACTCCCACCATTTTTTACCCTTACAAAAAGGAAGCAGGACTACACCATCTAATGTAAATTTTTTATTTTTTTTTTTATTATTGACAAAAACAGAATTTATTGATAAAGAAAGT